TTGTAATTCATCCCTCTTCAACACGTGTCGCAAGCTCCTTGTGGGTTAAATCCGGTCCATTCTGAGCTAAAACCCGGCCATCGTCAGCATCGATCTCAATTTTCTTCATTTCTGATTTCTCTGCAAACCCTAATTCGGTCTCCTTTTCTTCAATTCCATTCAAAACCTTCGAATCCATGACAAGTCCAAATAAAACAAGCCCAACACACAACATAAATAAATACAACCGTAAATAATAGTAATAAATATAATAACGATCACTAAAGATTGGAGTCGATCATGTATGTCGAGAAATGCCAACGCACTCTCGTCGGCGTCATGATCCTTTTCTCCTCATCTTCTTTTGGATCTCAGATGTGTTTGAAACACTTTCAAATTATGGTCTTCTATGCAAGAGGTAACTAGACTTTTTTGTGCTAGTGCAGGTTTATCGAACTATTATGGAAACTTTCCCTGCATGCTCTGATGGAACAGGGAAGTGCATAGGCGAACATTTGCGGCTGATGTAGCATCAAATCCACTGCCTGCTCCATTAACTGATGTCGCTTTTTCACATGCAGCTACACTACCTGTAACCAAGGTTATTCATTCGATCTTTTCATCTAATATTATACTTGTGCTACCCTCAGTGATCATGATCGTAGTTAACTGTGTCGTTTATGTGAAAATCATACTTCCTCAGATAGGTTTACTCCTAATATCTGTTTTTTTTTTTTAATCTTTCCTTGAAAGTTGTGCTTTGTTCAGAAATCTTGATTTTTATAATTGATGTGATATCGCATGCACCCAAAAGTAAATATCCTTGACTTACCTCTACTAGAATATAGCAACAGTGAGTAAGGGTTAATCCTAGAGCTGATAAATTTTTTGTGTACTTCTCGAGATAATTATATGACAAAAAAATTAATGTTATAGATTCTATGTGCTATCCTAATCTCTCAATTGTGGTTTAAATAAGCAGGCTAGAATAGCTCTTGAAAGAAGAAGATTTCTGAAAAATGCAGAGACTGCAGTTCAAAGACAGGCAATGTGGTCTGATTTGGCTCATGAAATGACGGCAGAATTTCGTGGTCTATGTGCCGAAGAGGTAAAATATATCTTACTATGGTCCCTTTTGAGCATAATGCTGATATATGCTGTGTATGGAAGGAAGCCCCAGTGATCCATTTCTTTCGGGTGTTCTTGTTAGGCGTATCTCCAGCAAGACCTTGAAAAACTACACGATTTGAGAAACAAAGTGAAACTGGAGGGCGAGATCTGGGATGGGCATGTATCTAGCTCCAGCCAGAATTCACACATAGTTCAAAGAGCAACTCGATTGTGGGACTCATTGTTATCTCGCAAGAGTAAGTATATGTAATGAGTTGTTCCCTTAATCTGCCTCACTATGCAGCTATGGAATCTCTTCAACAGAATCAGTGTTTCTTTCTTCTGCTTTATTATTTGATAATATAGACCATTGTAGCTTCTGAGTTCACGTCTTTTGATGAGAGATGATGAGATGTTAAAAAAATTAAGAATTCACTGTTTACCATTGGTGGTCTACTAACCTCTAAATTTCTTTCTCTCTCCCGCACTCTCAACACAAAATTTTCTGCTGTGCACAATTCAGGATACTCTTGCCTGTAATGTGCATTGTGCAGTATTATCTTTCAGCATTTCATGAACATTCTTTTAGTATGATTGTGAGATTAGCAACAGTCATTATGTTACCCTACTCTATGCTTTAGTAAAGCCTTGTATCCGTGATTCGTGCAGGTCAGCATGAGGTCCTTGCTTCAGGCCCAATTGAGGATGTTATAGCTCATCGTGAGCATAGGTAATATATACTGATCATGAGTGATGGTGTAATGCAGCTTAGCTATAGCTTCAGAATTCGGTTATATCTTATATTTATTCTCAACATTCTTTTCCAGGTATCGAATCTCTGGGTCATCTTTGCTAGCAGCAATGGATCAGAGTTCTTTAGTTTCTAGTGATATGTCTATGCATTTGGATAATGAGGAAAAGGAGAGTTCACAAGATGATCTTAACAAAGAGAACAAAAGCAAGTCAGATTTTTTGCCTATTAATGGGGATGAAGAAAAATTTTCTCGACTTGATGAGAGAAGTACGAGAGGGCAACCTACTGTTGATATTGCTGAAATCTTGAGACGCTGGACCCATGCGTTGCAGCGCGTTTATAAGCAATCACTTCAACTGGTATGTTTTTTCTTCCAATCCTGCTTTTACCTTGTCAATGAATCATTTCATTTGGGATGTCCCTGGGGTGAGTTATGAGCTATTCTTCCATGCATTCATAAATTTGTGTTCCAGTCAAATTCTTTACCTTCACATTGATTGTGTTGCAGGCGAAAGTCAATGATGGAGAAGGTCCAGAGCTTCTACGGAGTGTGCACGATGGTAGTACTAGCAGTCGTGCTGAATCATTGGCGGCAACACTGGCTGAACATAGGCAGCACCTAGACAGCATACAAGTAAATCTTGTATTAATGAATCACTAGTACAATAACCGTATACTACTCGGGTACTTAAATATATTAATATTTGTACAATTGGTATTGTATACTTCACGGGTACTTAAATATATTAATATTGTACAATAAAAATTAAAATAATTTATACTCTATTGTGAAATTATGTATAATGAATCTGCAACAATAATAAATAATTAACAAAGTGATAATTATTTCAAAGGTGCCCGTCTTTTTACACTAAGTTTGTCAAAAAATATATCTTTTATTTATATTTTTAAAATTATATATGTATAAAACTGATATTATTTACAACTCCATATATTTGATTTGTTTTTTAAACAAACAAGTTTTATTGTATTGTGATTATATTTTATATTTATAGAGTCAGTGTCTCACATCTATTAATTTTTAAGTATTTTAAATTCATAATTAATAATTTATAATTTACATAGAAATGTATTATTTTTTAACTTTGTGAAATACAAAATTATTTTATTATATTTAATTATGATATTTTTTTATATTTACTTTTTTAAATAACATTATAACATTCAATTTTTTTGTATTATCTATATAAATTGAGAAATAATATTTTTTAAAATTTATTTTATGAAATACTTAGTTTTCATTTTTTATTCAAAATTTATGGAACAAAACAATGAAATGATTATTTTATGGTGTATTAATGTATTATTTTTATAAAATTATTTATTTTATATTTGATGTATTTTAAATTGAGTTGATAATAAATTAATTTTATTTCTAAATATATATGAAATTATTTTTTATTTTACATATGCAATATGGATGTCAAATCGAAAATCGTCAAAATATGATTATTCTGGTAGATCATATATAAAAAATAAGGTAAGAGTAGTATATGGTAACTTAAGAAAAAAGGAAAGCTAAAATAGTTTATGGTAATTCCAAAGCCTAATAGTCAAAACCAAACCTGAATATGTGTCAATACGAAGCACCAATTTATGCCAAATAAGTTTACGAAACACACGAGTCTGCCACTTAGACTCGGCGCATCCGGGAATTATATATAGGGGCGATTGTTTGTTGTTAAATTTACAAAATATGCTTGTCACCTTTATCTTCAAGTATTGTTTTACCATCAAACACTCTAGGCCATAGGAATTATATTGTATCTTTTTCTATGAGATTTAGGGTATTTGCAGGTGCTAATTAATCAGCTAAAGGATGTTAGTCCAAACATACAAAATTCAATAACAGAACTTATGGAGGAAGTCGATAGCATATCATCCAATCTACCTCCTGTCATGAAGGTTAGATCAAGCTCATTGGCGCAGGCGCAGAGCAATGGGAGGACGTTGGTATTTACTTTGAATTTTATGATTTTTATCTTTTTTCTTTATTGTCTGAAACTAGTCTGTAGACAGTAGATTATTAAATTATGATATGACCGCGATTTTGGAAATGTGCTTTGATAAACTATATTAATACCCAGGCAAGTAGTACTGATGAGGAATTGGCCTCCTGGTTGTCATCTGTTTAGCTTGAAAAGGTGACAGCTAGCCCCCCTACTTTGAAACTGCCGCCGTTATTCAGTTCGACACAAAGTTCTTCTGGAAAAGGTGGGAATACACAAAAGCGTCATATTGTTGCTGAAACAAATTCCACAGATACCGTGACCGAAGAAAAGTTTGTAGATTAGTCTTCATCTAAGCTTCTTGTTGATAACTCAACACACGGTTAGTGATTTGTTGCCTTCATTTCTGATGTTTTTGCTTCTATCAGTTCACTTATTGTTTCCATTCTTATTATATCTACAGATGAGGATTTTCTTTTTCTGCAAAACCTGAAGAGATCTGTTAGGGAATCTGCTCTTTCTTCTCAATCATGCAACATGGAATCGTCAGTAGACAGTAATCCTAATGAGTGCTCCGAGCACTTCTTTGTATCACTGTCTGGGACTGGGGTTTCCTGCCATGGCCAACATAAGAAACATAATTCTTTAAAGAGTAGACAGTTATTCACATCTCAAGTAGATTCTTCCTTGCTTCAGACCCATGCTAAAGACAATGATCTTGGGAGCAAGCAAGCATTAACAAACACGTTGAGTGACTTGGAGTCCCTTAATGATTTTGACAGTGTGAATGTTTTCCTTCCTGCTACTGGTTCAAATTTGTTAGCTTCTGTTGAAGTGTGGAGCTTGAATGATACAGATGCAGCTTACGTGAGCTGTTATGGCCATGCAGCAAGTCTTTTTTTCCTCCTTCTTTTGTTTTAGTTGAAATCGTGTTTCCTTTTTTTTGTTCTTTTCTTTTCTGCATTATTTTGGTGGGAAACGGTGTCGTTTGCTTGGGGTTATTAGTTGGTGACCAAAACTATGTCGTTTTGGTGCACTTTAAGGGTTTGGATATTGGATCGGGTATATATAGCCTACCCATGTACCTTTTGAGCTAAGAGTTTTTACCTGAAATGAAAATGGAGTTTTGGATATTTTTCCTGCACTTTTACATGGTATCGAGAGCCTATTAAGCTCGTTTTTTTTCGATTCTCTCATCAATGGCGAACAATCGTTACAATGAAGCTTGGCCGCTGTTAAATGTTAGAGATAATGCTACCACCGAAAATCGCGACGATGACCCTATGTTCTTGCACGGCTCAGATCACCCAGGTTTGCAGCTCGTTTCACATCCCCTAAATGGATCTAACTTTCTGGCATGGAAGAGATCGATAATGATTGCACTAGGAGCGAAGACGAAGTTGGGATTCATAGATGGATCGATTCAGCCATTGAAGGTTGGAGATGCTGACTATGAGAAATGGAGGAAGGTCGACTGGACGGTAATCTCCTGGATCTTAAACTCATTATCCAAGGATATAGTGGATGCTTTTATCTATGCTGAATCTTCAAAAAAACTATGGGATGAGATATGTCAGCGTTTTGGAGAAAGTAACGGTCCTTTGATTTACAAGTTGCAAAGAGATATTGCTAATCTGAAACAAGGAGGTGACTCAGTTATGATGTATTTCAATAAGCTTAAGAAAAGGTGGGATGAGTATTGTTGTTTGGTGCCACAATTGATCTGTAAATGTGAGGTTGGAAAAAGGATTGAGGAGCAGGATATGCAGAACAAGCTCATGCAGTTCTTAATGGGATTGAATGACAGCTTTGATCATATTAAGAACCAGATGTTGATGATGGATCCTCTCCCTAATGTCAACAAAGCCTATTCAATGATTTTGTCAGCTGAGAGGCAGAGATCAGTGCAAATTGGAATGGAGGATAACACTCACAGTCTGGCTATGGCTTTTAAATCCAACTTTCAAGGGAGAGGAAATAATGTAAGGCCACAATACATGCAACAAGGAGTAGGGAGAGGGAGAGGTGGCTACAGAATGTCAAAGGAAGAAAGGTCAAAATTGCTATGTGAAAATTGTGGATGGAATGGACATGAAAAATCAACATGCTTCAAATTGCATGGATATCCAGAGTGGTTTAAGGAGATGAGGGATAAGAAAGGTAAATCTGTAGCCAATGCAGTTGACATAGCTGACAATCAATCTAGTTCACAATCATCCAGAACAAGTAGTGGACCAGATATTGCAGCCATTGCACAAGAGGTAGCCAAACTGTTGGGAAAGCAAGGCAAGGAGGAGGAACACTATGTCAACTTTGCAGGTGAAGAAAATGATGATCTATCACATTATGCATTATCACTGTATGAGAGACAGAATGAAAGGGCTTGGGTTATTGACACTGGTGCCAGCAAACACATGTGCACAAACAAGAAAGCAATGAGGAACCTAACTAGCCTTGCAACTCCTATCACATCATACTTACCAGATGGTTCTGAGAAGTTGGTGTCACTTGTTGGAGAGGTAAAGCTATCAGAAAAATTGACCTTACATGAGGTGCTCTATGTACCTTCCTTTCAATACAACTTGTTATCAGTGACTCAACTTTGTGAAGCTTCAAAATTGAAGTGCATCTTTACATCAGAGAGCTGTGTGTTTAAGAAAGAAAGGACAGATGTAGTGATGGGTTATGGAACATTACAAGGGAAGTTGTATGTGCTAAGTGAGCACAATCTGGGGGATGAGAAAGGTTTAGCATGCAAAATCTCTTTGGAAGATTGGCACAAAATTATGGGTCATGCATCACATGGGGTTTTACAGCACCTACCTTTCCTCAAGAAGCACTGTGATGAAGGGAGGATACAGAACCTGAAACAATGTGATATATGTTTCAAGGCCAAGCAACATAGACTTCCATTCCCAACCAGCAAGATCCACACTGTGGACTGTCTTGAACTGGTGCATATGGACCTGTGGGGACCATGCAGAGAGGAAAGTATCACAAACACTCCATATTTTTTAACAGTGGTAGATGACTATAGTAGAGCTGTGTGGATCTTCTTGCTCAAAACTAAAGGAGAGGCTATCAAACACATCAGAAACTTTCTGAGGATGGTGAAAACACAATTCAAGAAGACAGTTAAGGTGGTTAGAAGTGACAATGGACAAGAGTTTGTGGGAACTGAATGCCAAGGGATTTTCTCAGAAGAAGGGATCCTACATCAAAGGACATGTGCCTACACACCTCAGCAAAATGGGGTGGTGGAGAGGAAGCACAAGCAGATTTTGGAAGTTGCAAGAAGTTGCCTGTTTCAGTCAAGGCTACCATTGAGATTCTGGACATATGGAGTGCTCACTGCAGCATATATTATCAACAGACTGCCAAGTTCTTCTTTGAACTGGGAGACACCATATGAAAGGGTGTACAACAAAGGTGCAGATTACCACAGACTTAAGCCTTTTGGTTGTTTAGTATATGATGTCAATACTTTACCAAAGAGAAGCAAGTTGGATCCCAGGTCCCACAAATGTGTTTTCATTGGGTATGTGGCAGGATGCAAGGGATATTTCTTATATGATCTGGAAAATAACAAGGTCATTGTATCCAGAGATGTAGTTTTCTTCACTGATACTTATCCCTACAAGAAAGAAGAAGTGGAGGGAACAAGGATGGACACCACACTGCCTGTGGTACATGAAGACTTCTCATACACTAAAGAGTCTGTTCAGAATGAAGAAAGTGAAGAAGTCACAGAAGAGAGAGTGATGGTGGAAGATATTGGGAAAAGGAAAAGAAGCAAACCTGCCTGGATGAAGGACTACATTTGTGATATGGGAGAAGCAAGTCCAATGAGTTCCCCCAGGATGAGGAATTTTTTGTAAATCTAGCAGCAGATCAGGAGCCCTTCAGCTATCATCAAGCAAAGACAGATAAGAAATGGGTGGAGGCAATGAATGATGAGTTGAGAGCTTTGGAACTGAATGGAACATGGAAGTTATGCTACTTACCTACTGGCAAAAAGGCCATTGGGTCAAAATGGGTATTTAAGGTTAAAAGGAAAGCAAATGGAGAAGTAGATAGGTACAAGGCAAGATTGGTTGCCAAAGGGTACAGTCAAACTGAAGGTGTTGATTACTTTGAGGTTTTCTCACCTGTTGCAAAGTTGGTGACAGTTAGGGCATTCATAGCTATGGTGGCAATGAAAGGATGGAAATTATGGCAGCTAGATGTGAATAATGCGTTTTTGCATGGCTATTTGTCAGAGGAGGTGTATATGAAACCACCACAAGTATACACAAAGGCAAAAGAAGGACAAGTTTGTTAGTTGGTGAAGAGTTTGTATGGGTTAAAGCAAGCATCAAGGGAGTGGAACACTGAACTTACTAAGAAAGTGCTGGAATTTGGTTTGGTTCAATCCTCATCAGACAACTGTCTGTTCACTCAGAAGGGAGCAGAGGGATATTTGGCAATGCTGGTATATGTGGATGATGTGTTATTCACAGCTTCCAATATTCAGCTACTGGAAAAATTGAAGGGATTTCTTGACAAGGAATTTACCATTAAGGATTTAGGAGAGGCCAAATACTTCTTGGGAGTGGAGTTTTAAGAGATGCAGAAGGCATAGGGTTGTGCCAACAGAAATATGTGATGGACTTGGTTAAGGATATGGGAATTGAAAACAGCAAAGCACCACCTACACCTCTGCCTATGGGACTCAAATTGATGAACTTTGATGGGAATCCACTGGAGGAAGGAGATCAATACAGAAGGTTGATTGGGAAGCTGCTATATCTCAACTTAACCAGACCAGACATTAGCTATGCTGTACAACAGCTTAGCCAATTTGTGAACAACCCTTATACTAAGCATTTGGAAGCTGCAGTTCATGTGTTGAAGTACTTGAAAGGAACAGCTACTCTGGGACTCTATTATAGGAGGGCAACAGATCACATACTTGACAGCTATTGTGATGCTGATTGGGCAGCTTGTAAGGATACAAGAAGATCTATCACCGGGTATTGCATTTTTCTGGGAGATAACTTGATTTCTTGGAAAAGTAAGAAGCAGACAACTGTGTCTCGGTCTTCAGCAGAAGCTGAGTACAGGTCTATGGGAGCCACAGTTTGTGAGTTGCAGTGGTTACACTCCTTGAGCTTAGATCTGGATTTAGCTCTTCCACTTCCTATAACACTATGGTGTGATAACAAAGTAGCCATGCACATTACGGCTAATCCCGTGTTCCATGAGAGGACTAAGCATCTCGAGATTGACTGTCATGTAGTGAGAAATAAGTATAAAGAGGGCTTTATTCAACTTACTTATGTGCCTTCTTCTTCACAACCGGCAGATATATTCACCAAGATACTACCGGCAGCACATTTCAAGCTTCTTGTTTCCAAGTTGGGCATGGTCTTTCACCCAGCTCCAACTTGAAGGGGGGGTGTTGAAGTGTGGAGCTTGAATGATACAGATGCAGCTTACGTGAGCTGTTATGGCCATGCAGCAAGTCTTTTTTTCCTCCTTCTTCTTTTGTTTTAGTTGAAATCGTGTTTCCTTTTTTTTGTTCTTTTCTTTTCTGCATTATTTTGGTGGGAAACGGTGTCGTTTGCTTGGGGTTATTAGTTGGTGACCAAAACTATGTCGTTTTGGTGCACTTTAAGGGTTTGGATATTGGATCGGGTATATATAGCCTACCCATGTACCTTTTGAGCTTAAGAGTTTTTACCTGAAATGAAAATGGAGTTTTGGATATTTTTCCTGCACTTTTACAGCTTCTGAAGCATGTAGGTCGTTTTATGCTGTGGATGAAGTTCAGGATCAAGTGTTCTCACCTCCTTTATTAATGGATGCAGCCCTCTTAGGAGATTCTTACGAGGATTTGCTTGGTATGATGAAATTGCTTGTGCCAATTTGGTTCTGTGATGTGAATGCTAGTCACTATTGATTTATCTTGCCGACATTTCCAGTTTTCTGTGGAGCACTTGAAGCAATATTGCTTATTAGTTTCTTCCGAAGTATGCTATCCTGCTTTGTGGCATTACTTAGTTGTCATATTAGAATATTCGAGATCACAAAATGCTTTATTTTCTTTTATCCATCAGATTCAATATTGGTTAACCCTGCTGTAAATGAACCTTGTGTAGCAAATTTCTTTTACCCTCATGTTTGATCTTTCTAATTTTCTCTCTCTTTATATATGACTTGACCATTCTACTATATTTTGATCAAAACTTTTGTGTCATTTTATTACAGCGCCCTTATCAGACACTGAAACAGCTTTGATGAAGTATTGACAATCAAACATTACGGGCTTGCCGCAATAGTTTCAAGAGAGTAATTTCTAGTGGAATTCCTTCTGGTTATTATTGTTCAACTTGGAGAGTACGCATTTGTTACACAATCTATTTTGTCAACTCTTGTGTTGCATATATGTACTTTTTTCTACTGAAGGATTGCTGATTTGGTTTGGTCCGTGCTGGGATGTGACCATACTTACGTTGACATGGCTTTGGTGTGACCATATTTACGTTGACATTGGCTTTGGTGCTGGAATATGCTATGCAGAAATTGTGTTATATCCAGTGTGAAAGATACAAGGTTACTAATTGATCGACTGTGGGAAAGGTCGACTTTCCAGGAGCCATGTTTTTATTAAGTGTATAGATTCATGCTGACCCAATTCATTAGGTAGACTACTGTATAATAATAACACTGGATGGGTTATTGAATGGTCAATGATTGGTGTTCATTACTGTATAATAATGACACTGGTTTTGGTGTATTTGCCATTGATAATGCTTGCAGTTGTGGTACTGTATTTATCGCATGATGCAAAATTAAATTGGTTTGAAACCAATTTAGAAGCAACGTTGAGAAGATTGCTGGAGTAGCTTTATGCTCTTATGTTATGCTTTGGAAATAAGACAGTTGTTTATAAACATTGAGACATTGGATGGAAGTTACTTCTTTCTTCTTTTTCAGTTTGACGGATCTTGTTACTATAATGATTGGTGGTTTACTTATGTATTCCTGTGGAATAGTTTATTATATTATTCATTTTTTTTTTTTTTTTTTTTTTT